TGTGGGGGGGGGTCTGTTGTAAAATGCCCATAATGACAGGAGGTTCTGGGGGAAGCGCTGGGTTGTGTTCCCAATGACCTGAGGAAAGGTCAGGGAAGAAGATTCCTGCTTCATCCAGATCCCAGAGCCATGTGAAAGAGGGTGGGGAAGAGCTCAGCTCCCCGCCTCCCCGTGGCTCGTAGGCACAGCTGGCAAAGGCTTTCCAACCTTTCCTGGGCCCGGGAGCTCGACGGGAGCGCAGGATCCAAGGGATGTGGCCCGGGGCACAGATTCTGCCAGAGGCCGGGCTCAGCCAGAGGTAGCTGGTCTGGTGACAGGTGCCATAGCCCGGGAATTGGGAGAGCCTGGGACAGCTTAGGGCTGCATTGGGAGACCCTGCCCCTCCCGGCCTGAGCACGCACCGAGGGCGGCTGGTCTCAGAGATCCTCATCAATAAACAGCTCTGTCCTTCACACCTGCCCTGGAGAAATACCCAGAATGCACAGAAGAAGGGAGCAGGCCGGGCGCTGCCCAGCCTGGATGTGTTCCTGTGACACAGATGGCAAATCCCCACCTGTATCCCTCCTCAGACTGCTGGACCACCGGACTGGCTAGGCCAGTCTAGACCTGGGGGGCTGGCCTCGGGCCTGGCAGGTGTGTGTGTGTGCGTGCAAGCATGTGTGTGTGCTCAGAGCACACTGGAGCATAGATTCATGCCAGGCTCATCTCGGTCCCCAAGGTATTCTGTGGGGGGCTGACAGCAGCTGGAACTGGCTGCTTCGTGTGGTCTCCATGGAAACGGCCAGAGGTCTCCACGGGGCTTCCCGCAGCCCGCCAGCCCCCCTCACCTCCCGTCCTGTGACTCCCCGCAGGGTACCTGGGCCTGTACATGGAGAAGGACGAGCTCTTGGGGGCCACACTCATCCTGGCGTGGGTCCCCAACTCTCGCATCGAGAGGCAGGACGAGGAGGCCCTGCGCTACGTCACCCCTGACAGCTCCCCTGTGCACAAGGCACCCCGCCCCTGGCGCCGGCGCACGCCGAGCTCCGGGACCCCGCACCAGCCCGCCCTCATGGAACAGAGGCCCTCCCTGACCCCCAAGGAGGAGGAGATCCTGGTGGTGAACCAGAGCGCCCAGGACGCGGTGCCCATCAGCCCATCCCCCGAGGAGGGGGAGCGGCCGGGCCAGGGATTGGGAGCCGAGGGCCCCCACAGCGACTCTGGAATCTTGTCTGCGGTCAGCTCCCAGGATGGGACGGAGGACGGCCCAGAGCCTCGGCTTGAGGCCGGGGAGGAGGAGGGCTCCTTAGAGCTTTCGGCCGATGGCGTGAGCAGGGACAGCTCCTTCGACTCGGACTCCGATGCCTTCTCTTCACCCTTCTGCCTTTCACCCATCAGCGCCGCCCTGGCGGAGGGCAGTGGCCCTGCGTTCCTGGAGAGCGAGGGCAGGTGAGTTCCTCATTCACAGTGGGGTTCCTGCAGTCATCTCTTCCAGCAGCTTCGCTCAGCCCTCTGGGCCCATGACCTGGCCCACTGAGGCTCCTCCCATCTGCCAGCTTAGAGGCGGCCCCTGAGCGGCCGGACATGGTCCTCTCCCTGGCAGTGGTCCCCAAGGGGCGCATCTGGCGGGAGAGGCGTGTCTCGGCACCTGCCACCTGTACCTTCAGGTCCTGGGCTTGCAGCTGTGGTGTGTGCCAGCCCAGGGGTCTGGAGGATGCCCAGGACAGACCCCACATCCTCTGCTCTGGGTGTGGTTGGTGGTGGCGTGTTCAGTTCCGGAAGATGATGGTTATCGCAGACCGTGGTCATGAATGGCTGAGCTCACATGTGCAGGGCCCACAGCCCAGGGGTCAGCAGGCCGTCCACTCTGTCTCTAGGCTTTCCATCCAGTGTAGGTCCCAGAACTCAGCCTTGCTCAGAGGAGAGGGAGGCTCAGACCAAGGCTAGTGTTCTACCACTTGAACCATACCTCCACTTCCCATTCTCTGCTGGCTAATTGAAGAGTGATTCAGTCATGTCTGAACCATAATCCTTAGATCTCAGCCTCTTGATAAACTAGGATTACAGGCGTGAGCCACCGGTGCCCGCTCCAGCTGGGTCTTATCTAGGGCTGGAGTGCAGTCTGGTGAAGGGCAGTGGACAGACAGTAATAGCCTTTCCTGCTGTGGCAGAGGAATTCAAGATGGACGCTGTCCGCCGAGGGCGGAGCTCTGGTGTTCCGGCCTCGGCCGGCGCTCCCCCTGGTGGTGTCTGAAGGTGTCTGGGTGCCCCAGGGCCCAGGGGAGACAAATGATGTCCTGGGCTACCCCTTCACTCTTCCCCCCAGAGGTGGGGGCACAGCCCTCCATCCGGGCTGGGAACGAGGCCGGGGGACGCCTGTCTGAGCCCCCACCCTGGCTGTTCACCTAACAGCCACACCCTGTTGGGAGATCACACCCACTTAACTCAGCCTGGCATCAGCAGATCTTGAGCTCTCCGAGGGTTTCCCATTGTAGGGGACTTGCAGACCCCTCTGTGGGGGCTCTGCGGGGAAAGGGGTGTCCGTGTGCTGCGCAGCGGGGTGGGGACGGTGTCCTGGACAGTGGAGCTTTGCTCCACGGGGCTGCGTTGTGCCCAGGGCGGCTCCCCGAGTCAGAGTTCCTACCGCCCAACCTCAGGGGGCAGGGCAGGGAGGCTCAGGGCCCCTCTAGTGGCAGAGCTGGAGAGGTACAAGCTGAGTAGCTGGTCCTGCCAGGCTGCAGGGCTGCAGGAACAGTCCCCCCCCCCCCCCCCAGGACTGCAGAGCCCCCTGATGCTTCCTTGTTTGGCAAGTAGCTCAGAGGCCACTGAGTGGTTAAAAGCAATGAAGTGTCCCCTGTGCTGTCTAGTTTGGGTGCTGCCTGTGGAAGTCTGATTTGCAGGCCCTCCCTTGAGTCTCGAGCACAGCAGTGGCCTGGGAATCGGAGCCAAAGAGCGACACAGGCCTCCTTGGGCTGGGGTGTGTGTGTGGGGGCGCCTCAGACCGTCACAGTGGCCCCCTGCCCTCCAGCACATCGGGGCCCAAGGCTCTGGTCCAGTCTCAGGGGCCCTGCCGTGGAGTGGACTCCGTGGAGGAAGAGAAACATCCTGCCACCCCTCCTCTTCCGGAGCTCCTCCCAGGAAATCACATCACAGGAGGAAAAAGTTCACGAAGCCAGCACTGCAGGAAAGCAACCTGAATGCCACAGCAGCTCAGCAGGCCCACCCCTGACCCCTGACCTTCCCATGACTGAGCCAAGGACGGTTCTTGTGTGGGGTGCCTGTGAGGAGGGGGTGCCATCTGCCTTCCCAGGGGGTTGGAGGCTCCCCCCCCTACACTCCGTGGAGCCTTGGTGGCTGCAGGTGGAATCCTGTCCTGAGGCCTGTACTGCAGTGTGGAAGTCTGCAGGCATCAGAATCTGAGCAGACGCCTGTCGGTCATCCTCGCTGCCGAGGAGGCTGACATCTGAGGATCCAGGTTCAAAGCCAGTCTGGACAAGAAAGTCCATAAGACTCTTTATTTCCAAGTAGCCACCAAAAAGTCAGAGTAGAGGTGTGGCTCATGTGGTAGAGCACCAGCAAAGGGCTTCGGCCAAGATGAAAATGGTCCTAGCCACTGGCCCCACCCACCGCTGCGCCTCCAGCGTGTGTGCGTGCGTGCGTGCGTGCGTGCATGCATGCATGCATGCATGCATGCGTGTGCAGCTGAGCCTCATGACATTTCCCTTTACATGGCATCCATCAGCATAAACAAACAGCACCTGTGGCCATAGCGGGGCTGAGCTGTGGGGTGGGCAGACAGGTGGAAAGGAAGGTATATGTGCTCGAATGTCTGGGAGAGTGCAGTTGTGAGGCAGTGTGTCTTTTTTATACATTTGTCTCTCTTTTTGCAATTAGGTTAATCTTTCGATGAATGTCAGGTTTTGTTTTGGGCAGTGCTGGGGCTTAAACTCAGGCAAGTGTTCCATCTCTTTTTTATTTTGGTCGTGGGGCTTGAACTCTGGGCCTGGGCGCTGTCCCTCAGCTCTTCAGCTCAAGGCGAGTGCTCTACCACTTGAGCCACAGCGCCACTCTAGTCTTTTCTGCTTATGTGGTGCTGAGGAGTCGAACCCAGGGCCTCATGCAGGCGAGGCCAGCGCTCTACCATGGAGCCACCTTCCCAGCCCCCGGATGTTCCACCTCTTGAACCACACTTGCAGCTTTTTGCTTTAGTTTGTTCTTAGGATCTCGCCCCTCCTACCTGTGTCCCCTCAGTCGCTGGGATTACAGACGTGAGCTGCCAAGTTTGGCTTGTTTGTTGGGATAGATGCTTGAGGCTAGCCTCCACCTTCAGTCCTTCCTCCGTGATGCATAGCTGGGGTTGCAGGTGTGAGCCACCATACCTGACCAAAACAAACAAGAACAGCCCTGCACTCACCTGCGGTCTGGCTAACCAATCCCCACAGTGAGGCTGGTGCTGCCGGCCCTTCTCTGTCCCCCACAGTGGTCAGTCCCGTCCCCACGTGCTCAGCCTCCATGGTGCTGCTGTCCCCAGGGGAAGGGGTGCTGGCCCCGGTGGAGGACAGCGGTCAGGGCTTCAGGTCCGGCTGGCAATGTCCTCTCCAGGGTTGCAGCCCCGTCCTGTGGTCTTTCCCTTGGAGGTCCTGCCAGCCCCCACCAGGCCCCGTGGGCCTCATGTTGGCACGGGCTCAGGGTCCTGGTGCCCCAGCCTTCCATCGTGGCTGGTGGGGGGGGGGTTCAGTCCCAAGCAGTGCCCTGTTCCCAGCTGGCAGCGTCTCCCTCATGCTGAAGGCCTGGCAGCCCTGGGCCATCGGGGTCCCTCGGGGGTTCTGGTTCCTGGAGGGGGCGTCTGTAGGATGGACCTGGAGACCGGGGTCCCCTTCCAATACAGAACCTCCTGGGAACATCTCCCTTGGAGAGCAGAGGGGAGAGGTGGACCCAGCGAGCGGCCTGTCCCTCCTGGGGGGCAGTCAGGAAGGGGCCGCCTTTCCCAGGACCACCCTGAAGAGGCAGCAGAGGTCCAGGGCCCGAGGGTGAGCAGCTGGCCAGGTGGGTGCCCAGCGAGGGCTGGTCCTGTGCAGCAGGCAAGGGTACGTTAAAGATGCCTGTAGCGTGCATGGAGTAAATGAACACTATCTCACGTGCTTTCGCCTGGAGGAGGAGAAGGTCACTGGGGTTGGCTCTGGCTGAGTGACGATGGCCTTCTCCAGCATCAGTGATTGGGCCCCATGCCCCGTGACACAGGGCCGGAGATGGCTGGAGAGGCTATGAAATGGATGGCAGAGTGGGCCTGCACAGGATGGCAGGCAGCAGGGTACTGGGGTACTGGGTGCTGTCACAGAGCCTGCCCAGGACGGCAGGCAGCAGGGTACTGGGGTACTGTGCACAGTCACAGAGCCTGCCCAGGACGGCAGGCAGCAGGGTACTGGGGTACTGGGCACAGTCACAGAGCCTGCCCAGGACGGCAGGCAGCAGGGTACTGGGGTACTGGGTGCTGTCACAGTGGTCCAGGGGCCCCCAGTTAGCACTGCCACGTAGTGGTGAAATGGGCCCCTCTTTTGGTGGCTTCCTGAGCAGTCTGCGATCTCTTTTGTATATGGCAGTACTGGGGCTTGAACTCAGGGCTTTAGTGCTGTCCCTTAGCTTTGTTGCTCAAAGCAGGTGCTCTACAACTTGAGCCACAACTTCCCTTCCTGCTTTTTGCTGGTTGGACTTTCCTGCCTGAGCTGGCTTTGGCCCTTGATCCCCAGATCTCAGCCTTTTTTTTCTTTTTTTAAATTAGCCATGGGGCTTGACCTCAAGGCCTGGTTGCTGTCCTTGAGCTTCTGTGCTCAAGGGATACTTTGAGCCACAGCTCTACTTCCAGTTTTCTGGTGGTTTATGGGCTATCAGAGTCTCATAGACTTTCCTGCCTGGGCTGGCCTTGAACCTCAAACCAAGTAGCTAGGACTACAGGTGTGAGCCACCGGCTCAGCTGGGTGGACTTTGGTCCCTGCAGGATGGTTTTGGCAGACTCACATGCCCTTTGCCCCTCGCTGGCCCTCTTCTTCCATTGGTCGCTGAGCTCAGGAAGGATGGGAAGAAGGGAGGGGGAGGGGCGATGGAGAGGGCAGGTGGGGGAGGAGGAATGAGCAGGGAAATGCCTGGACTGTGGGTATATTAGAAGGCCAGTGAGGAGAAGGGGTGGGGGGTGCGGGTGTTGGGGAGAGGCCCACCAACCCACCAGGGAGGGATCTTAGGATTGGAGTGATCAGGAGTCAGAGATGCGTCCTTGTCCCCCTGGAGCTCAGGGGCACTCCCTGAGCCAGCCCAGGCGCCCCAAGCCTCAGACACCCCCCAGGATGTCCTGGGGGCCCCTGCCGCCCCTCTCACCCCCCAGGATGTTCTGGGGGCCCCTGCCGCCCCTCTCACCCCCCCAGGATGTCCTGGGGGCCCCTGCCGCCCCTCTCGGG